CAAACTGTTGCATGTCATCCCGGACTACATATCCCATCATCCATTGCACTGATTGCACACAGCTGTAACCAATCACACACTCGCTATATTACCCCCACTCAGATCCCTTTCAAACTGCCAAGTATTGTTTTAGTGCTTATCGCTCATCGTGTGATAGCTACTTTACGGAGCCATTCTAAATTCCTTAATCTAGTACTGCCTTGTTCTTAGTCTGTTTACCCGTGTCTTGATCCTTGCCTGTTATCTCGTTTTGTCTGATCTCTGCCTGAACTGACTCACGCCTACCTTTGGATACTCTTTTGTCTTGCCCTCTATATACCTGTTTGCCATTGTCTGACCCATTCCTGTTTTATGACCACGTCTCTGTCTTCTATTAAAGCTCTGCAAATGGATCCACACGTCTCACGTCTCGTCGGCTCCGTTACAATTACCTCACACTGTAAGAAAAAAATCCATAGATAAATGGAAAAGGTACTGGAAATTTTCTGTCAGGACTTTATCCATGAAGTGCAGGCATTTGCAATCCTAAAATACAACAAAATTCAATGCACACGTCAAAGGAAAGGGAAAACACCTGTGAAAAATCACTATAGATAATTTTTTCCGTATTAACACAAGTACATTGTTCCCTATTTTTAAAGATTTTTCTTAGAGTGCATAGTCATTGTCCATAACATGAAAACATGAAATATCTAGTACTGATACATAATATTTTTAATAAAAAGTGCATACATGTATTAAGTTGATCAGCTTTTTTTAAATAATATTTATATTATTAAAATATTTTACTTTAGGTCAAAGTCTGAGTTTTGGAGATTAAACCATAGTTATGGTCAGTTACATTTTACACCGAAATAAATTTCATTGGCTATATTCAATATAAGTTAGGTACAATTCTGTCTCTCCTCCTGTATGTGACATTAGGAGTGTGTCATCGTGGCCGGGTTAAGATCAGTGAGAAGGACATTGACGGGACATGTTTGTCCACCTGTCCTGATGCTAAGAGCTATGCAGTCCCTCTGAACCACAAATGCAGTCGAATTGAGAACTGCAGAACTAAAGAATCGGGCTGGAAGCGCTGGTTTACACGCTGCAACTACTGCGACTGTGACTGCTTCACTCCCTGCGGTAAGTTTTTATAGAGTCATTTAAATTGTGGCTAGTTAAAACAAGTGGCAAATACTGTAACTGCAGTAATGCAAACAATATTTCAAAATCAGTGTTCTTGTTTGTTCC